TCTTGTACCAGGTGAACTTTGTATGGATGAAAACTATGGGCCTTTAGAATCCGTTACCATACACAGTCTCCAATTTGCGGGTACTTAACGTAGGATCTATATAAACTTGCCCTAAAACCCCTACATCTATTGCTTCGTTCCTTATGCGATATTCAATGTTGCGTTTTTTATTGGCGACAGTTTCCCGCAATTTAGCTACAAGTTCTAGAACATATTTTCGATGCACGTTACTGTTCTTATGTCGCTCATTAAATATTTCTGCTGTTCTATTAGCGCACTGATTATTTCCGAAAAATATTTCGATAATTTCAACTCTTTCTGCTGTGAAACAAAGTTTGGTCAAATTAAACGCAATCTATGTACTAAATTCCTATTTACAATAGGTACGAGATGTTTCCTTATCTTTCTTCAAGGAATAACCTTTTTGCCACAAAAAAAACGCTCAAATAGCTATTTTCAACAACAAAATGATAAACAAACTATGGGCGTAGTGAACAAAAGCGTTTACTTATTAAGTAAATTCTTTTAGTGAAATTTATTCTGAAAGTAGTACAAAATAATCTGATGTACCTATTAAAGCCTACTTTAAGCTTTAAATCAATAAATCTTCAAAACTGCTGAACTGAAGCTCATGTATTTTACATCATTATAAAGGGAATTGAAAGACCTTTAAAATAAGGTATCACTCGACCCCCCTTTACATTTAAGATTTTAGGGCTGGTGTCACCCTCGCCCAAGGGGCTGCACGTGTTAACGTGATTTTTCGCCAAACTTGTGTCTCCCTCGAAAACAAAATCGACGGGTCTGAGCGTTTTTCAAAAAAAAACTGAGCTGCCAGTAAATGCGTCTGTTTTGTGTTCGATGCGCCACCCTGTATAATAAATAAGACGTACGAGCTCACAAATCCGTTATTGCAATGGCCAAAATGAACGAATTAAAGTTTGAATTGCTACCGCAAGCACCCTATTCAGCAGATTTAGCCCCCTCGGATTATTTTCTGTTTCCAAGCTTTCCAAACTTGAAAAAATGGCTCAGTGGTCAAAGATTTTCCAACGACGAAGAAGTGATGTCGGCAGTTAATGGCTATTTTGAGGAGCACGACAGTTCTTATTATAAAAAGGGTGTCGAACTTATTGAACATCGCTGGAAAAAGTGTATAGAGCTCAAAATAGATTATGTTGAAAAATAAATACATTTTTTTACAAAATTTTTGGGTTTTCTTCATTGGGTCGAATTCTTCTGGGACCACCCTCGTAATTAAGGACAGGTTGTTATTGCTAAAACCATATAGCGACAACTTTTGAATCAAAATGTGATGTTGAACGCAATTAAGGTCATAGAAGCTAGCTAGAGCGAATATGTTATCTCCCAGACATTTGTTGATGAATCTGATAAGATCGTTTAACGGTGCTTCCGTTGATCTGTTGCTAGGATATCCAAACTGGCTATTACAGAATAAATTGTTACATTCGAGGTACTCACATATTCTTCAGAAGTATTTCGAAAATCTTTGCTATATTTGGAAATGGGTCTGTAATTTTCACAGCCATTCTTCAAGAGCAGGATAATCTCTGCGAGTTTCAGGAAGTCAGGAAAGACATTATTTTCTATATACATCTTTATATCATAATGGAGCTGTACAGCGCTAAATGTATATGAGTCAGTTATTTTATCCACTCTAACTACACCATTAAAAAAAGTACATTTTATCCTTTTTTTACAGAAGGACTTCCCCCGGCCTAAAATCACCTATGACAAATGTGTTTATTACTACTGAAACTCCTAGGTAAGTACTAAGTGAAATGTTTTTGAGCTGCGCACCTTTTGCCATAGAACATGCAATGCTGTTCAGGCACATTGCACTCTATGCTATTATTTCGAACTATATGAAGGTTTGACATTTACAAGACAAATTCCGAGGAATCTTCCTACTCAAATCTGAACCAGATAGCCGCCCTGATTGGAAAAACGATTTAAAATAGAAATATCTTAACAGTAGGTGAAACTATGACTTCAATTCATCATAGTAATACATCTTGCTTCTTCTTCCTCCTTTATTTGTATTTAATAATACAGCTTTCGCAGCGTATCCTGCATCTACCTCGTTGATGTATCTCCATATTTTCCTGAACACCATCTGGCGTTAGTTGTGGCTTGTCCTATTTTGCAATCAAATAAATTAAAGGGGATTCGTTGTTTTCTAATCATAACAGTAAGAGCATTTATTGCTCAACAGATTATGTCCATTGAAATCGCAGTCGAACTAAGTCATAACACTACAACTGAAAATATCAGCATGTGGTGAGATTCTATTATAGTTTCTACAAATTTCTGATAAGGGTGACTAGGCATCAAATTCGCTTTAACAACAAGGTAGTAAATAGTAGTATGGTGCTGCTCAATTGATTTCGTTCCACGAAAGTTTATATTAAAATGACATAAACACCAAATAGTTGTTGCGATTCTATACCTTGTTCCGGGTAAGTACGATGCGTCTTGAATAATAGTCATTTCAAAAGCTCACTCTTAGTCTATCTAGTTTTTTTTATAACAGGGAAGATTCCAAACGTTGGAATATCCAGTTAACCACGTACATAAGTATTGAATAATTTGAGTCGTTACCGAATGACTAGCCTCATCTTACAATGCACGCATCCATAATTCAAGTATCAATATGGACTGCGAATCAAATAGCACATCTCTTAATACATTGCGGAGATGCAGCATTCAAAGGACGTGCGTTATCAATGCTGTAGTTGAACGTAAAAGTTTTTTTTTCCTGGGAAAGGTAACAGTTTGAAAATTTGATATCGTTAGTACCAACTGCTTGATAACACACCATTCATGAATACTATTAAGCATTCATTGCAGGTCACCCATTCGTCCCTGGTAGCTATTACATAGAATACTACCAAATCATATGCATGAGACAATGTAATCGATGCAATTACATTATTTGTTTCATTGATGAATGGAACAAATGGAAGTAGACCTAGGTCTGACCCTTGTGGAACACCAGAGCTTACTCTCTGTGTGTTGGCATTGTAGTCATTATGCTCGAAATGTATGTTATCACAGTACAATCTGTCCCATAAATGATTTGCAAAAAGCCAAAATTGTTTAGTTTTTTTCGAAGAATATGAGGATTTACTCTATGAAATGGCTTGAAAAAATGTGCATGACTAGTTGAAGTGTTGAATAAAAAGTGCCAGTCGATCTACGACTCATAAAGCCATGCTGGATTGGTACTATGTTACTACGGGTAACAATTATATATAAAATCTCAAGAAGCTTCATTTCATGGACTGTCTACCAGGACTGTCCCAAAAGATTATAAATATTGTCACAAGGGTGAAGGTATGCATTCCTGAAAGATCATCTAGGGTTTGTCTATCCTGACGGAAGTTCTAGAGGTTCGTGTACTGTCCTGGAGTCTCGGCTAGGGTAAGCACATGCGACGTCATTACTTTCTTGGACTAAAGGATGTATAATAGTTCTTGATAAATGCCGGAATTCAAGAAAATAATACCTCAACGTTCTTGTGAAAGTTGTCTCGGGTCAGTGTAAAACGAATAGTCATCTATCTCTCATCAAAGTTCAAGAACACCCCTTGGGCATCAAGTGTTATATCGTATCATACCATTTCCTGGTTGAACATGATTTACAGTGAAAAGATATATTCAGCAAAATGATTGGACGTTTTGGACTTCATCAGATTAGATAGGTCCGAAACAGTATCCTAGTCGCGTCCCACCGTTACAAGTACTTCATGTCTCAAAACGGACGTGCTCTATACTTATCTGGGTAATTTGAGGGAAACATTTACCATGCGTAGATTGCTACGTTTAATAAGACTTTTCGGAGCAATAATTTTATTGGTCCCAAACCTAATATTTTCTATTCATACTACCTCGCGTGTTCACGTATTCACCAAAATTGCATAACGTTCAGCGAAAGCAGTAACGGAAAGTTCCGAACAAATTACACTTTGCTTACAGTTATGACGGTGAAGCCTTGCACCGAGGCCATGGAGGAGTGCATATAGCTGCCTTTATGCGCCATCCGTGTAAGATGTTCATTTTCTTATCGTAACAATTTTCTAGGAGCGAATATTTACTCGCTAAGTTTACTCTGGAACGACTCGGTGCCAAGCTCCGTGAAGGTTTGCTCGTGATGTGTATTTAGGACATGGTGGATTCAGGTAAGATCGTGCAGTCTGTGAGGTTCGCAAGGAGCGTCATAATCGTGAGATTATTGCTAGTAGGTGAAGCGTTTATAGAGTAGAGGAGAGGGAGGGAACGCTGTTAGAGAAATTGGAGGCTACCCACCGGGACAAAGTGGAACAAACATGGGGATGAATGAGTACTAGAGGGGTTCCAGTGATAAACACGTAACAGTGCATAGGATAATCACTAGGTCTTACTGCTCCTCTCGAGATAGGTCCTTTCAGTAGTGGTAAATACCTCCGAGCTTGATACTCGTTATCGCAAATCCTAGCAGTGATGTTCTAAGCAAACCTCTTCTAGCAATCAGCATGTAACATGAAGGGCCTCTATCACATGCAGGCGTGTGAGAGTGTCGCGGTCAGATTTTACTATCGACCTACCACAAGTTTTTCCAGTCCTCATATAGGCAAAACTGCACAATTTTGTAGAAACGGCTTTTCAGAGTCACATACTTTGGGCGGGTAAGGTCGAAAGAACGTAATGGTCTTTTTCGAATAGAAGAGAACACAGATGCAATCTCTTGAATTTTCTGGAGTAGATCTCAACACCATTCAAAAATTTTAGCGCGAGTTGAAATACAGATCCTTGAGATTAGGCTAAAAAAAATAAACGCAAAGGCCCGTTTGGAAGGTAAAGTGACTCAGCATTTTCCATTGTTATGGACTGTTTCAAGTGATTCTCGCAATACAGTACAGATCAGTATCAAAAGAAGTGAAGGTATGCGGGAACAAAACTCGTGCAAACTAATTTTCTGACACTTAAATAATGACTTACCTTCAATTATCCATTCCACTAATTTTGATGAGGGTGTTGAGGCCTGACATAACGGTTTGAGAAAACGTCCGAACTTGAGACACTTTGAAGATATGATTTGATACATAAGTAACACACCTGCATTAATTTTCTCAGTGGAGCATAGGATGACAGGGAGAATGTACCAAACTGCCCAGAAGATCACCTTAATAAAAAAAGTGCGTAAATAGTGCAAAAGTGACCAAAACTAGAAACTAATCTCAGAATTTGCATTCCACCCTGCTTGCTCTTGCACATCATGACATCTGGAATATATATATTAGTGGGACGAGGTAACTACGGCGTATCTCAGCTGAATACGAATGTAAACACAATACTGGATGATTCTGAGAGGATATTGTGGATCAGTGAATCGGTATCTGTATACAATACTTCTCCGCGCGGGTATGACGCATCTTGAAAAGTGATATTATGTCGATCTTTTCTGACGTTATATTGTTTTTTTGTGACATTAGGTATTTTTTTCTACAGGATGTGAACTTAGCACTAGCTGATGGACACTTGTTGTGAACTCGTCATGATCCTTTAGTTTATCAACGTTTGGCTCTGATGTGATGTAAAATTTGCTCCAGAGATGGCATTACTGGAGTTCTAAGCTGTATGTTGTATACTATAGCTAGAAGGAAACGCCAACGCATAGATGCATAGTGAGGATTTGTGTGCTAATAATATATGTATGTTTGCTGAATTTCAAAAATGAGAGAGATAAGGAAAGAAAATCCCTGGTTGGTGAAGGAACAGGTGAGAAAATATGCTAGAGACAGGAATATTTATGAAACGTGAAAAGGTTATTACATTGCTCTTTATTTCCAGTCATTTAAATTTTATAGAAATTTATTTTGCGATGTCAATAGAAACATCAAATCAGCGCCTAGATGTTAGGCATTGGAAACATTTTAGATGTATGATGCGACATTACTTATTTTTCTGTCATGTAGCTTAATTGCACACAACGCGGGCGCGATCGCACTTTCTCGTAGTGCTTCTCAAAGTTTTTTAAAACACAAAAAACGGGAGAAATCGTAATTTATAACGCTTAACATAACCTGTTTTCAGAAAGAACGACATAAAAATAACCCGTCGGGCACAGCTAATAGAAATGGCAGCATATTCAGTGATAATTTTCTCACACAGCAAATATCTCTGATTTTATACACATGCAAACCAATACACATAATCATTCAAATGCGATCTTGCTATTCAACCAACTTTGCTCTCAGAGATTAAAAGTACAGACTACTCGGTTTTACAAAATACATAATGCAACCAACAATGCGTATAGTCATTCCTCCATAGACCCTCACAACGATCCTAATGAGCAAACGTGGAATAAATTACTGGTTGCACCCTAAAAACTACCTAGACTGCAAGGTGACATTTTATAGGTTGTTTTGAAGTTTTATAGGTTTTTTACATAATACCCGTGCCGGAAGGCTATTCCTACTTATATTTGGTATTCGTCAGCTTGATATGTTGAAATGGCGTAATGAGCTTCGCACATGAATAATATATTCGCGCATGAAAGTGGCAGTTGGGCTCTCAAGATGGCAGCAGGGCGGCATTTTGTACCTTTTCTCAAGTAGGATGGCGGATTGTATGATACCTCATTCTAAAGCTCCTCAGAAATACTCTGTAACTCTAGAATAAAAAATGACTAAGCTCCAAAATGAAGGCGTTGGGAGTCTTTGTAAAAGGGTACTATAAAAATTTCGCGATATGACTTAACGGACGCAGGAGGCTGCATGTTATTGCATGTTGAAACATGTTCATAAGTATATAGTAGCCGCCAGCAGCACGTCTGTTGAATTAGTTGTGCATTCTTATTGACAGTGTATAGTGCGTACAAGGACATCGCCGTCACGTAGTGAGATAAGGGTAGTTATACGGTATAACTTTACGCGTAGCTTAAGAATATACCAATGTTCAGAAGAAATGACACTTGCATTAAAGAATGATTGCCCTCATCGTACGAGTATATTCAGGGTGAACAAAGAATTCCAAATTTCACTCTGGCGGACGCTGAGAGGGAGGAAAATACTTGACGAAGACCGGAGAATGACATACCAACAGATAGAGGAGACCTCACACTTTCATGCACCACCAATTCGTTAAATTCCGCGCAACCATCTACAAGTAAGGACGAAAGATGCTGCAAATATTTGATAACTGGCGGCATGTGAACAGCATACCAGGGCTCAAAACAAAGTTTGGGTCTTTGATGATGCGGACACACGCAACTGTCATTAAATCCTGAGCTGTTAGGAAAAAATGTATTTTTAAAGTCGAGCAAAATTCTGGAGCGTGTCGCTTTGGACACACTGAAGACAGTCACAGCTAAGTGGTACACGAAACTCCTAAGCTCATAGAGTCTATGAAAAATCTGCGGTCAAAGTCAAGAGTAGACACTTGGTACATCCACCATGACAACGTTCCAGCTTACCCCGCCAAAGCCTGCACCCTGGACTGAAACTTATTGAGCACCCTCCTTACAGTCCAAATCTTGCTCCCTGCGACTTTGCACTGTTCCGAGTGTGTCGCACTTCCGAGTGAAACTTGGCGGAGGTGGCTTAAGGACTGGTTTTGGCGTATGGAGAAATGTATTGAATGTGGTGGAAATTGCTTTGAACGAAGTCAATAAATCAGGCTGTATTGCATAACTTTTATAACACCCGTTGCACATTCTACAACCAATCATTAAGTGCTACAGTGCCTTTTGTCAATATTATTCCATTGAAATGTTTCATCCGACTATATTATATAATATACTAAGTGACATATAAATTCGAACACCCAGTTTAAATGGTTTTATTTTAATAAAAGTTGGTGAATGTATTTATCTTACTGTAAATAACAAGTGAAAAAAATTTCAGCCTTATCAGTTGGACATTCCGGTTTTTATACTGCTTTTTTTTAATTCACTAACGCTCTAAAAATGAATATTTCAGCCGCAGTAAAGAAGCAACGTTGGCGGATTTTGGTTCTTGACATCCTTTACGATCGGTTACGATGCCTAGAGTACGGAGACCTGTACGATTTCGTCAACTTAGTGAGTTTGATAGGGGCCGTATAGTGGGACTTCGGGAAGCTGGACTTTCTTTTCGGGCAATTGCAGTTAGAGTGCAAAGAAGTGTAGACACTGTGGTTAAGTGTTGTCAGGCATGGCTTCGAGAAGGCCGTACGCAAAGAGCAAGGGGCACTGGACGCCGCCGTAGAACAACAGACCGTGAAGATCGCCGCCTAAGATTATTGACCTTAAGGGACCGTTTCTCCACTACCAGGTCCATTGCAGATGAATGGTTTGCAGAACACGGAAGACCTATTGGCATGCGAAGTGTTTACCGACGAATGAGAAGTTTTGGCTTGTTTTCATACCGGCCACACTGGGTCCTCCCTTTAACTCTAGAACACCTAATCGCCTTGAGTGGTGCAAACAACGGTCACTCTGGGATCAGGAATGGAACAGTATTGTCTTTAGTGACGAGTCTCGATTTTGTTTAGGCATGCACGATGGTCGTGCCAGGGTTAGAAGGCGACGTGGTGAAAGGAGGAATCCACAGTTTTTTGTTGAAAGACATGTTCATCACACTGTTGGAGTTATGGTTTGGGGTGCTATAGCTTATGGTTCCAGGTCACCTTTAATCTTCATCAGAGGTAACATGAACGCGCAGCGTTATATCCACGAAGTTCTAGAACCCCATCTTTTACCCTACCTTGACACCCTGGCAGATCCAACTTTCCAACAAGATAATGCCCGACCACATGTTGCAAGAGTCACAATAGACTTCTTTCAACATAATGATGTCACATTGTTACCATGGCCACCAAGATCTCCCGACTTATCCCCAATTGAGCAAGTGTGGGATATGATGGGTAGGAGATTGCTCAATTTGCAACGTCCTCCTCAGACTCTAGAAGTACTTCGAGAGGAGTTGGTGGTTGCCTGGAATGAGATACCACAGGAGGACATTGACCACCTGATCGGAAGCATGCCTAGGCGCGTTGGAGAATGCGTCGCACATCAGGGTGCATCCACACATTATTAAAGGCAAAGGGCTTTAAAGCAGTGCAATCATTTTGAAATTATTATCATTTACTTATTATGCTTCATTAAGTACTTATTTTACTAATTTTATTAAAATAAAACCATTTAAACTGGGTGTTCGGATTTATATGTCACTTAGTATATATACCTGCTTTATTTGAGAAGGTCGTTAAAACACATCATTTTTTTAGTTCCTATGACCTACATTTTATGGCGCCCCGCTACCGACTTGAAATCTTCATCCATCAATTTTGTTACCCAGAAGTTCCAATTACTCGAAAAGCACTGTCTAGTAATGTTGTGAAGCCAAGTCTCGACTTTATTTCTGTCAGAGAGTACTACTAGGAAAAGCAAAACAATTTAGATTCTTGATACTCTGGAGGTACTCACATTTTCTTGGAACGGAAGATGTACTGTGATTAGATTTCTTTGGACTCCATTGAAAATCGAGAACAGACTCCTTGGATTATCTCGGAACATCTTGTACTCCTGTTTGAAAAAATTGTAAACCACTGATTAAAAGAAGAAACGTCGATACACGTCATCGGCGTGTCTCGGCGTTTTTCTTCTAATCAGTGGTTTTCGGTAAATCCGTTTTCAATTGAACATCGTGTATAATGACGCCGTCACAGGTATTGCCTCGGACCCACTAATTTCCTACCAGTGGGATAGAAATATCCTTGGTTACATCGAAATCTCCTACTGGGATATATACTTTCCATGGATGCTCTGGGCTTTTTTGGGCGTCCTGACACAGCTATATAAACTCGGTAACCACCTCCTCAAAAAATGAAACCAGATACTAGCCAGGAACTCCACAAAGCTACCCTGGATCCCCTAGTGTGTTTTTTACTGAACAAAACCTGCTTTATCTATCTCATACTCTCAAATTTCTCACCATCGACAGGCAGCAGAGCGCAACTGAAAATTTGATAGTGTTGCTGGCAAATACCACCTAGCCACTGTAGGTAGACGGGCGTGACGTCATGTCTCGAGGGCATTAGAGAACAAACCCATTTCCGCTCTATTAAAGGAGCCCCAGAGCGACGGAAGCCTCCGTAATTCGATTGAATAATTCAAGAGTGACTCGAAACAGGTGTATT